ATACGCTAAACGATTAAATTTATATGGAAGCCTGCACCGCAAAGTGAAAAAACAAGTGAAGATGTCATCTCGTACACCGTAAAGTGAAAAAAAAAAAAATAGAAGGTCTTGTACGAGATGAGACCTTCCGTTTTTGTTTTTTTTTCACTTTGCAGTTCAGGACTTTCGTGAATTTTAATGTTGAATTTCTGCAACCGTTAGAAATACCTCTTGCCCCCCTCTAATATTTTGAATCATCTGTTAATCTCTAATTCGTACTGGGTGCAAATTACATTTTTAAGTACTTACGGTAAATGGGTGACAGTCGTTGTCATAGTTAGTAACTATCTCGGCAATTACCACCACGGAAATAGTATTTTGCAAGAGATTAACTGCCGAAATCTAAAACAAAAAATAATTCGAATTAACAAAAAAACTTGTGTCCCTGATTCATAACTATACTTATCTAGTGTTATCTACTTATTTTTTATAATCAAACTATCATTATTATTTTTTGTTTTAAGATAAGCTACAAAACTGGAGATATGACTAAATTAAATACATATATCACCATTCATACTGTTACGTATATGCTCGTTTGTTAATTTCCGGTATAAATTCTCTCCGAGAAACTTCAGCGATACAAGTCCTTTCTTAATTAAAACTCGTTTATTCTTTCTCGATACAACATTGTAATACACAGAATTTCCCCATCACTTCAAACTTAACAACCTTTATAACACACGCTATAAATCACAATGGTTCACACACTTCACTTACAGTGACTACTGTTCGCTTGACCCAATTATGTATATTGTTACGTCTCTGTGTTCGTTTGTTAATTTTCCGTAGAAATTCTTTCCGAAAACTTCAGCAATACAAGTCCTTTCTTAAATAAAACTAGCTTATCCTTTGTCAATACAACTTTGCAATACACTTAATTTCCACAGTCACTTTAATATAAACAAACGCTATAATTCACAACGAACTATTCACGCACTTTACCTACTACCGCGCTTGACTCAATTGTCCGTCTCTATCTCTGTCTGCAATTCAATTGTTGCCGTAACTTCTTGGCAGTCTTATATATTATAAAAGCGTACATATCGTCTCTTCGAGAATCTTCTAGATACTCATCACGTGTTACCAGCGTCACGTGACTTCCGCTGTCGTAACACTGCCCCTTCCTTAGTATTGTTCGTCCCGAACAATAGCCACTTAAATTAAACCAATAGATAATTAGCAATAACTTAATTAAACGTACATAATTTACAAACACTAAACAAACATTAAAATTCAACAATGTCTTTTAATTTTTAGGTGACGTATCTTTTTCCACACTGGCTTCTGCTTCACGTGAGGTTCATCTGCTCCATCAGGAATTGTCTTATCATCGGTAATAGTCACATCAGTGGTAGTAACTTCATGAAGGGCTTCACTGTTTCTCTTCTCAAAACCGGGTAGAGTTTCTTCTTCGACAGTGGCTTTTTCAGATGAAACATCTTCAGCAGCATCATTTGTTCCTTTGTGCCCTTCGTTCCAACTGAAATGTCCTGACCATGATAACGCCAAAGCCTGTTGGCATGC